CGGGAGGAAGAGAGAGAGAGAAACATTGATGTGAAAGGGACACATCGAGTGGCCGCCACCCTCACGACCCAATCAGGGCTGGGAACAAACTGCAACTGAGGTACATGCCCTTAGCGGGAACCGAACCTGGGTCTCTCTAGACCGCAGGCCGACACTCCAACCGCTGAGCCAAACCAGCCAGGGCTGCAGGAAGTTTTGATAAGAGCTACATTAAGCTCTGGTCAGTTTTGCTCAGTGGTTAGAGAGTCAGCCAGTGGACCGACCAGAGTCACGGGAATTCCCCGTCTAGGGCACATACCTCAGTTGCGGGTTTGATCCCTGGCCCTGGTCGGGGTAGTGTGGGAGACAACCACTTGATGTGTCTCTCTCACATTAATGTATCTCTCATTCGCTCTCTCTCACTCCCTTTCTCTCTCCCTCCCACTCTATGTAAAAAAAAAGGATCAGTGGAAAAATATCCTCTGGTGAGGATTTTTTTTAAAAAAGCTATATTATAGTGTTAATAACTTAAGAGTTTTTCCTCACCCTTTTGAAAATCGACACTCTTCCTCCTCATGATACTGATTATTGAGACATCAAGAGATGTTTGGAGTAGCTTACTTGGTTGTGTGGATTGTTTGAAATAACTGCAATTGCTCAGAAGTACCATGATAAACTTGTTTTTAATTTGCATATTTTCATGTAGAAATGTCTTAACAAGGAACTGTCTTTATAGGAAAAAACAAAAAAGAAAAAGAAGCATAAGAAACACAGTAAGAAAAAGAAAAAGAAGGCTGCAAGTTCAAATCCTGACTCACCGTGATACTGGGAAAATCAGGATTCCCGTATAAAGTGCAATGTCTGAGGAAATCTCAACTGTGAGAATAATGACATATTTACTAAAATGCATGACTTTTGTTGTTTCTAGAAATATTCCTGGACTGTTCAGTAGCCACTCAGATGCCGCTGTGTGAAAGGGCCATAACAGTTGCCTGCTGCTTGAACATCTTTCTCTTCCATTGCTTAGTAACTGGGAGATAATACACTGCAGTTGTACTAGTGGTTGATATTTGGGAATAAAGTTAATATTTTTGACTAGAAGTATCTGATGATAAATCAACAGAAATTGAGTCTAGATACATCATTAAGATGTAAACAGAAATGACCAGATGACTCTAGTTACTGTTTTTGAAGTAGGGATTACATTGATTCAAAATCTTTACTCTGTAGATAGTGTGTTTTAATTTTTTCCCCTTGTATACTTTTATACAAGGAGCTTTTAAATGTGGAGGGTGGTTTGCTATTTCTTTAACTAGCAGAATAGCGTGCCTTTTATCCTCACACATCCTATTTTTGCGGACATAGTAGCCATGTTTCGTGGGGAGGGCAGAGCTGGGTGTGGCAGTCTTGCGCTTTAACATCCTTGGACTCAATATCATGTGCTGCTTTGAGTGAACCAGAAAAACAGCCTTTACAGCATGAGAAAGCCTCAGAAGCTCTGGGATTTACCTCCACTTCGGTAATACTGAATGATTTTTAGCGTTAGAATGTGTTGTAACATTTGAATTAATTTTGACTACACTTTGGCTTTGGGAAGGAGTCATTGCAAATAGACACTGGTACTTTTTGAACTTGATAGCTGAAGATTCTACAGTGCATGTTTTATACTGTTAAGTTTTAACCAGTCAGGAAATTTTTATGTAACCAGTGATAGCTATTTTTTGTATGAATTTTGTTTAGGCTGTAACGTTTAGCTTTTATTAACTTTTTATTCTTGCTATCTTAAATTCCTTACTGCATTTAATGGCGTTCTTGCCAAAATATTTAGCATGTGAAAAGCAGGTTTTTTGTTTTGATTTGTTTTGTTTGTAACAGCTTCATATTGAAGCTGAGACTTACCATATACAAGTGGAATGGCAGGCCTGGTATGCTGTGTCTTGTTACATAAAGCTCTTGCCAGAATCTTAGTAAATATAACATTTTCAAAGTTTGTCTTTGTATAGTCATAAAAAATATGACGTGTTAAACTTAAGTGATAATTACATTATTGCTCTTTCTGTGTCATTTTATTAAGATTTTGTGCCTCATATTTCCTGCTGAATTGTTTACTAGTTATGTTAAAAGGAATTGTTAAATCATTTTCACTTTACATTTTTATATAATCGGGTAACATGAAATATAATTTGATGTATAATTTTTGCCTGTGTGCTAATTATAGTGGTATATGCACAAAACATTTTGGCATGACAAGAAGCTGAATAAATAGCTATTTTACTTAAAAACAGCCGTGTTCTGTTACCTTCCATTGAGTCACACATTAAAGTTATGATGATTAAGAAATACTACTAGGTGTTAAGTAGTAGGAGGATGAGACATTTCCCCAAGTTTTTATCTGTAAAAACAACACATTTCTTGGTTAATTTCCTTAAACATTGTGCTTAAAGATTCACACTCTTATCTAATAAAAGATACCTATATGCTCTTGAGTACACCACAAGTTTGAGGGACATTTTGTGTCCAAAAGGAAGCTTCACAGAATTGTTTGTGAAAATGCTAAAAGATAAGTTTATCAGGTTATTTTATTTGCTGATCAGTTTTGCTGTGAACATAGAAGTGTACCTTTGCAGACTGGTCCAGTGTATGATGATTGTGTTCCACTAGAGGCAGCTGTCTGTCTTAGACTGGGGAAGAAAGTAATGTGGAAAAAAAAGTGTACTGTTTCTAGACTGTTGACTATGTGGGAGATAACCTTTTTCATTGTTTCTCTTATGGTAGCCTTAACATTCTCCCAATAAAGTATGGGGAGAAAATTTGACTGGTGATGTTATGTGCAAGTCAACATCTCTTACTTCCTCCCTCCACCGACTGCCCCTTTTTTTTTTTTTTTATCCTCACCCAAGGACATTTTTCCATTTTTTGTTCAGGTAGAGTGGGAGGGAGAGAGAGGAACAGAAAGAGAGAGAGAGAGAAACATCGATGTGAAAGGAACACTTCGAGTGGCTGCCACCTGCATGACCAACCAAGGACGGGGACAAACTGCAACCAAGGCACATGCCCTTAGCGGGAACCGAACCCGGGTCTCTCTGGACTGCAGGCGGACGCTCCAACTGCTGAGCCAAACCAGCCAGGGCTCTTTTTTTCTTTAATCCTCACCCGAGGACATTTTTCCATTTTTTTGTTCAGATAGAGTAGGAGGGAGAGAGAGGAAGAGAGGGAGAGAGACAGACAGACAGACATCGACATGAAAAGGACGCGTCGAATGGCTGCCTCCCACACGACCCAACCACGTCCAGGGATGAATCACAACTGAGGTATGTGCCCTTAGCGGGAAGCGAACCAGGGTCTCTGGACCACAGGGCAATGCTCTAACCACTGAGTCAAACTGGCCAGGGCCAGCTGCCCCTTTTCAACACAAGGTTTGTTACTTGGATAATTATGACAAGGTAATTGCAACAAAACTGATGAGTGGATAGAAAAAATGAATTTATACCAGCACTACCTTTCTGGTTGTTTTGGATTCATTTGGTTGCCCTTAATATATTTAGCTGTTTAAATTCCAAAAGAGTGTCCTGAATTTATTTGGTCTAGAATATGGGTTTATATTCTGTCAGTCAAAATATGCTAAAAGTCTATTGCCTTATTGTCTTTTGTTTTATGGAGAATAGACTAACCTCAGAGAAACAGAGAGCAATTATTCTTCAGACTTAAGTGACAGATTTCACACTTTTTTTTTTTAATCCTCACCCATGGATGTTTTTCCATTTATCTTCAGATAGAGTGGGAAGGAGGGAGGGAGGGGGAGAGAGAGAGAAACATCGGCATGAGAGAGACAGACACATCGACTGGCTGCCTCCCACACAACCCCGACCAGGGCCAGGGACGGACCACAACTGAGATACATGCCTTTGACCAGAATCAAACCTGTGGACTCATTGGTCCGCGGGCCGATGCACTAACCACTGAGAAAAACTGCCAAGGGCAGAGTTCACACTTCTAAAAGATTGCCAATTTTAAACTTAAAAACTATAGAAAAGTTTTAAGAAAGCTTTTTCCCCCAGTTGTATTTGCCTTATTTTTTGTGTATTTACCTTAGTTTAAATCTTGTTTTTAGCCCTGGACAGCGGGTCAGTGATTAGACTGTTTGCCTGCATGCCAAAGGGTCTCTGGTTTGATTCCCGGTCATAGGCAAGTACCTGGGTTGCAGGTTCGATCCCTGCACCAGTCAGGATGTGTGCGGGCAGCAACCAATTGGTGTGTCTCTTTCATATCAATGTGTCTCTCTTCCTCTCCTCCTCCTCCCCCCCCCCCCCGCGCTAAAAAAAATGAATGGGAAAACTATCCTCAGGTAGGGATTAACAATAACAAAATTTGTTTTTATACTTTATTAAAAATTTAGTAAGAATATAGTGTCCTAAATTCTAAAAATTACTTTAGTCTTTTTTTTTTTGCCTTACCACAGTGAATACCAGCAGACACAAACTAGAAGATGCTTGGTCTCTAAATTAGGATTTGACAATAGACAAGAGCTTAGCAGTTGTTTTTTTTTGGCTCCTTGGGCATAGTTGTATCGTGTTTTCCTACCAGTTAGTCAGACATAAGTTGGAGGGATAAAAGTGGTATTTAACATTTTTCTAGAAGCTCCCAGATTAAAGCCTCTGGATATCATGAGAAGGTACTTGGTTTGAGTTTTCAGATAAGGTTATAACCCTTGAGCTTTTTATAGCCTGGGAAATTATTTCAATTTAAAGATTAAAGTCTTTATAATCTTATTTAGTTTAACTGTGTTCAAGTAGGAGGGAAACATTTTCAGCTGAGAATTTGTGCTGAGGAGATAGAAATGGCAATGTATCAAATACCACTTTAAGTGGTGTTTAGACCCAAAGAAAAGATAAATGTTAGAATTGCTGTAATATTTGAGATCACAGTGATGTTAATGAAATCACTACATTGGTACTGAGCGATAATAACCATTGTTGCATATTTTCCAATTACTTGAGAACCTTTTGTGTTTGGTTGCTGGAATGTTGCCATGGTCACATACTGTGTTGGGTGTGACATAGTGAGCTGGAAACAGTAGCAGGCCGAGATGCCCCGGCTTGGAGCCAGGCTGTCTGAGAAGTCTGCATTGTGTTGAAGCCACATTCAGCATGGAACAGAAGGCTCTGAGGAAACTGGTAGAATCCATCAGCAAAACTGTCAAGAGCTGTAAGTAGCCCTGGCCAATTTGACTCAGTGGTTGGAACGTTGGCCCATGGACCGGAGAGTCCCAGGTTTGGTTCCCGCTAAGGGCACATACCTTGGTTGTGGTTTGTCTCCGGCCCCGGTTGGGGTCATGTGGGTTACAGCCAGTCGATGTCTCTCTCACATTGATGGTTCTCTCTCCCTCCTGCTCTATCTGAAAATAAATGCAAAAATGCCCTTGGGTGAGGATTAAAAAAAAGAGCTGTAAGTACTGACCAGACATACTAGTTGGACATTCTCAAGCACTTCGTAAGCTCCAAAATAGAGTTCCTCTGTGCTAACGGATTATCTGCCCACCACAGACTGATTTTTGTGATCTGAAATTTAATAAGAGATTTCAAAGTATAAAGGTTTACTCTGACCAGTTCTCTGACACAAAATCTGTAGAAGCAGATGATCACTCTGCTTCAGGGGATTGATAGAGACACATTACATGGGCTACTGTAGATGTTGAAACACCGTGGTGCTTTGAACATGGCAAGTGTTTATGAAAACTAATCTCCAACAACAGATTGGGGGCAGGGGTCCTTGCTCTGACAGACCTTAAAAAGAAATCTTTATTTCTCAAGGTAACTCTACTAATTTTTTCTCAGGCATGACCACAAGCCATCCTGACTGATAAGTGTGAGAATCTGTGTTTAGAATTTGAGGAAGTTACTTTTATTTCAGCCACTTGTGCAGCCTCATTATTGGGCACTTCTGGTTTTTCTCGTGTGCCCTCCCTAGTTAGGATAGACACCACCTTTCTAAGAATCTCATTGTAGACTCACTTCTGTTTTCTCTCATTCCAGTTGGATTAAAAAAATTTTTTTTTCTTTATTGATTTTTAGAGAGGGAGAGGGAGAGAAACATAGATGAGAGAGAACATCAATTGGCCACGTCCTGCATGCCCCCCACTGGGGATTTGGCCCACAACCTAGGTATGTGTAATGATCAGGAATCGAACCAGTGACCTCTTGGTGCATGGGTCAATACTCCGCCACTGAGACACACCGGCCACACTATTCCAGTTGGATTTTAAATGATCTAAACTCCTAATGCACTTCTAGGGCCTGTTTTCCAATCCTGCTGTCAGTATGGTCCTTAAATCTCATAGGCAGATTTAGCCAGTATTTATTTATTTATTGCATTCATCTTCAGATAGAGCAAGAGGGAGAGAAGGAGGAAGAGAGAAAGAGAAATATAGATGTGAGAGAGACATATCAGCTGGCCCATATAACCTGACCCAGAATCGAACCACTGACCAGGTGCATGGGACAATGCTCAACCAACTGAGCCATACTGGCAAGTCCATTTGCTGCTTTCTTTTTTTATTTTATCCTCACCCGAGGACATTTTTCCATTTTTTGTTCAGATAGAGTGGGAGGGAGAGAGAGGAACAGAGAGAGAGAGAGAAACATCGATGTGAAAGGGACACATCAAGTGGCTGCCGCCCACACGACCAACCAGGGCTGGGGACAAACTGCAACCGAGGTACGCGCCCTTAGTGGGAACTGAACCCAGGTCTCTCTGGACCGCAGGCCAACGCTCAGCCACTTAGCCAAACTGGCTAGGGCCCATTTGTTGCTTTCTTAACAGAGCCTGAGTTTTATGACATTCACAAGGAAATTTTGGGGGTGGAGGGCATCTGTAATACTTTCACCAGTAAAGATAAGTTAAGCCCCCCCTCAGTAAAATAAATAAATATTAACAAACTCTGAAAGGAAATTTTGCATACCTAAAACATATATAACTCCTCTCCCCATCCTAATGAAATTATTTGTAGCAATGTTTGCAGTGAATGTTAAATACCATAATTTGTTATTTGAAAGCAATTCTCTAAAATAGCCTGTAGGTATGAATATATAATACTTGATCAGATCCAAATCCCACAGTCTCCTGCAAAGATGGTAATTTATAATAATTGTTTAAAAAAAGGAATGGGTGCCCTGGCCGGTTTGGCTCAGTGGTTAGAGCGTCGGCCTGCGGTACAGAGAGACCCGGGTTCGGTTCCCGCTAAGGGCATGTACCTCGGTTGCAGTTTGTCCCCGGCCCTGGTTGGTCGTGCGGGTGGCAGCCCCTCGATGCGTCCCTTCACGTCGATGTTTCTCTCTCTCCCTTCCTCTCTCTCCCTCCCACTCTATCTGAACAAAAAATGGAAAAATGTCCTCGGGTGAGGATTAAAAAAAAAAAAGGAACGGGTTACTATTCTTTTTCTCCCAAAGTTTTTGACAATGATTCACTGTAACCAGGTTACTACTTTACACTCAGATTACTAACAGCTGATGTTTATTGACTTCATTGACAAGACACTGCACTAACTGGTTTATGTTCATCATCTTTAACTCAGAATAAACCCAGTGAGGTAGGTGATAATTTCCACATTTTCAGATGAGGAAACCAAGTCATAGATTTTGTTTGTCTAAAGCTACAGTTAGTGGACTTTTCTGGTGGAGACAGAGCTAGAATTCGAATAGTCTGGTGCCAGAGCCAGCACTCAATCTGTTTCTCAGGTTAGCTACTGATTAGCATTGTAGACCCTTATGGTCATTCTGTATATTGCTGTTTCATAGTACACCGTGAAATTGTTAAATACAACTGAGTTCTTGGGTCCTTCCATTTGAACCGGGATGGACGCTGGCCCTTTCATGACTGGATTTGGTTCTCTGTGGGTATTGGGAAGAACTAACAGCTTGTGCTGCCTTGGCCTGCTCAAGAAGGGGCTATCTTTTTATTATAGTCGTCCCTCGCCACTTCACGCTTCGACTTTTGCGGCTTCACTCTATCACGATTTTTTCAAATATATTCATTAAACAGTTGATTGAGACAGTGAAAATGATACAGTCTGCACTCGGTTGTCTGAGTCAATTGTACACCCCTGTATTATAATTAAAATTAAAATTACTGTACGTATGGACTGTAGGCCTATGTATTCGAGCACCCCAGGAATCCTTCAACGCCCGGTGCAACCGCTAGAGTCTGGAACGGATTAACGGCGATAAACCAGGGATGACTGTATTTCTCTTGGATTACAAAGTTCTCATTGTCCCAGGTGGCTGAAAGTTTAAGTGGTTTTTCCTGGGCTTTTTGGGGAGAAGGATGTGGAGCTTCTGTACTTTTTCCCAGCTTTAGAGTTGCTTAAGAGGGGGGGAGCCTTCATAAGTTGCTAAGTCCTTATGTGCTGCATGGCCTCTTTAGTCCAAAGTGCTGTCTCTGCCATCCTCACAGATCCTCCCCTGGTTATGCCAGTGACCTCACAAGGGAAAATCAGTCACTTTACCAAGCAGCTCTTTCCATTTTTTCTAGACAGATATGAAATGTCTGTTCCAGAGCTAATATAACTTCTGTTGTCTCCATACTGCTCTATAGAGCTGCATTATCCAGTGTGGTGACCACTAGCTACATATGGCAATTTGAATGTAAATTAAAATTAAGTAGAATTTAAAATCCAGTTTTGGTCACACTAGCCACTTTTTAGGGCACAATAACTACATATGGGTTGTGGCTACCAAGTCGGACAACACAGATACAGAACGTTTCCATCATCTCATTAAACAGTGTGCTCCAGGTCACAAGTCTTTCCCTTTCCCAAACAATAGCCCTTCAATTTAGTGGGGAGGCAGATAGATTACTTCGGGGTGTAATAAATGGCTTCATGGATGTGCAAACTATGTTCTCATAGGCCCCATGCTTAGTTTAATGCTCTGTTAACACTGACTGAAAGTTGTGCGTTTTGGCCCATGAGTTCTGTAGTCGATCCTGGCTGTGTACCTCATTCATTGTTGTAGGAGTATCTCCACCGTCAGAATCACCTGAAGGTTTGTATTGAAAATGTAGCTTCCTGGGTACCACCCTAGGTATAGTTAAAAATGTGGAAGTGGACCAGACATCCAGATTGTTCACTCTGTGCATTGTTAGACACTAAAGTTGGAGATTCCTGACCAAAATTGTCTTTTTGAGATGAAACTTCAATCTGTCAGACTAATGTCAATCTCAACTTGATTGATAGTGAATTGGGAATGACTGTCTTTCACATTCATTGTCGTTTTGCCATAATTTTTACACTAGAGGAACTTTTTTTTTTTGCAGTTTAATTTTTTTGTTATTAATTAATTTATTTTTGTTACAGATGTTTCTCCTCCCCCCCCACTCATTCCCCCCTCCCCACCCTGTCCCCAGCTTTGTTGTCCATATGGAAGGACCTAGAAAGTATTATCCTAAGTGAAACAAGGAACTTTTTAAAAAAGCTAAGTGGTGAATTTAAAAGCTTTCTAATATTTTCATGTTTGAGTCAACTGATTATTTTGGCATCTAGGTGTTAACTGACTCAACCTCTCCAATTTACAAGTGGTTGATAATTCTATGGCAAACATTAGAGAGCCTAACATCCCTGCTCTGTAGGTGCTACTTGATACTGAGTAGATACTAACATAAGAATAATAGGAGATTTTGTCACGTCTTGTTAAAAGTGAAATACTTTGTGCACTGCATTTCTCTGATCTGCTCCTACCAGGGGGAGAAATAAGTTAAATCTAGTGTGATTTGCCCTTGTGAATTCATGAGCCCCTCTTTCCTAAATGTTCATGAGTTTTGTTTTTCATTAATCCTCACCTGAGGATATGCTTTCATTTATTTGAGAGACAGAAGAAGGTGGGGGGAGGGGGAGATGTCGATCAGTTGCCTCCCGCACATGTCCAACCAGGGATTGAACCTGCAACCTGAGTAATTGAACCTGCGACCCTTCGGTGCATGGGACAACATTCCAACCAACTGAGCCACACTGGCCAGGTCTGTTCGTGAGCTTTTAATACAGTTGTCTCTTCTGGCACCTAGCCCTGACCTCCTATGGGCCCACTAGTCCAGTATTTGGCTTTCATTTGAGACATATAACATGGACCAATAGGTGTGCCTACATAATTATTTTCTAGCCATGTCTGCTGAGAGGGCTTAGAAATATTAACACTCTGGTAGCAACAGGCACACCC